TAAGCGGAGGGTATAATATCTTTGATGTGCTGGGTCTTTATGCTCTCCACAGAGGGGATTTACTGTACAGATCAAATGCAGTCTTTATGACACTTCTGAAATATAAAAACAACTGAAAAGTAGCTGAAAAAGCAGCTCAAACTTTAAGAAAATGAAATATTAACTTGAGGAAATTGGTGCAACTAAATGAAACTCAAAAATCTCAAATAGTTTTTCTGATTTAGCTGAGCACAGCATCTTTGAGCATAGCTATGCTCTAAAAATGACGATGCACATGTGGTTGATTAAAGTCTATTAATCAATTCATCTCAGCAGCAACCACTGTTGGTCATTTGGCTCCATTGCATTCAGAATACTCGCAAAAATGTTGCAATTAGCGACACAGCGGCAGTAAATTATTAGCTTTAAATTGGAGGATGCTTGGGATGCTGCCAGGTTTTGAAATGATGGCGTTAACACTACGGTCCAAATGAGGTGAAAATAGCAGGGGGGGGGGGGGGGTGCTTTCCGTACACAAGCATAGGGGGGCATTGCCGCCAGATGGGAAGTTGGAGTCGGAGCACTCTTTGGGGCCCGCTGAGCCATTTGGCCCTCATCCAAATGGGCAATTTCACATGATAGAAAAAAAACCTCACAAACAAAAGGCAGGCGAAGAACGCAGGGGAAACTGTGAAGAGAAAACAATTCATACTGTAGATGCCACTTCATCCGCTCTGAAAGTATTATGCTGGGTGACATCACCACGGCAGCGCAGCATGGGCTAATTAGCACTGCAGAGTTCATGTCGTATATATGTGTTAAAGTGAGGTTATTAAGAGTTACAAAAAGCTGCAGGAGCACCATGAGGGGGGAGCCGAACAAGTCAATAGCAGGGGAGTTTCGTTGGCATAGATTACTACTTATCCCTGATACCATACTATACTGCACAGCTGTGTGCATACTGACTCCACAGCCAAATTGAATTCCATGTTTTGCTGTGGACTCCCGCTGTGTAGTAAATCCACTGAGGCATAAAGCAGCAGTGAAACTGTTGTTTAATGTATTGTGTGCAGTGAGGAATGCAGAATATATTCTCACTCGAGCACGTACAAGATAGGGTAGAATCGGTGGTAGGCTGCAAAATCTATTAGAAATAAGTACATTTCATCATACGCTGAATCGAAAATTCAAAAAATGTGCTTCCTTCAAATCATTGAGAATAATATGCCGGTTTAATTGCGAGCTAATTTAAATAGAGAATTCACTTTATTTGAGTTTGTGTCCCAGGCAGAGGAGTGGAGGGATTCAAGAGGAACAGCACTGATTCATATGCATGGCTGGATCTGGCTTAATTGCAGCGCAGGGGTTCAAATGGATCAGATGGTATGGACTGAAAAAGGCAAAGCACCCATTTTTAAGGTGTGCTGGAACAGGGGGTGTGAGGTTCAGACAGGCAGGGGGGGGGGGGGGGGGGGGGGGGGGGGGGGTCAATTCAACCTGAGAGGTTCAACACTGTGTCATGAAGTTCCAGGGAAATAAGAGAAATTCGGAAATGTAGATTATGCTTTTTGGAGATAAATTATTCAAGGCAAACCGTACTGCACCCAGACAAAGATTATTTGAAGATACATCACTTGCATCCTGTGCTTTTTGCAGTTACATAAAGAAAAAACATCATGACCTTTTTGCAACCGACTGTTGGCTGGATTTGCTTATTTTATTGCAAAAGAAGAAAACAGTACAAAAACTGTTTTCCTCAAACTGCGTCACTCGTGGATGCTTATGAAGGCAACAGATGACGCAGTATTGATGGAAGGAAAAAAAGGACAATAAAGTGGAGAGGAATTATACGATTTGCTATTTGTCATGTATTGAAGGTTTTTAATGTAAGGTACATTTTAAATTATATTTTTTCTCATACACTTCTATACAATGTCTCTTGTCTTTAAAAGGCTATTAGAGAAATGCATTGGTTTCACTTTTTCAGACTCAGCACATTCAGCTTATGATCTTTCGGTAATTCAGTTTGAGGAATATCAAAAGAAATCGATGTAGAGGGGGACAAAACAAATACTTAAATGAGCAAAATAAGTTACCTATCATGAGTAAGACAGGGATAAAGGTCGACTCAGGCCTCCGTTAGTCATGGGGGGGGGGGTCAAAATAGAAAGGCGTCTTACTGCTTTACCAGCTTGGGGCGCAGCATGCCCTTAAAACTCTCAGGAGTCCTTTATCACCGTGTTCAGACTCCATAAAATGCTGCTTATTACACTAAATCTGTCATGTGCTTTAATATGGATCACAGTTTGATCCCCTACCATCAATCTGGAAAACACTCCGGCAAAGTCAATGGCATAAGAGGCTAGGATGAATCTCTGCTGTCCAACTTTTCTCAACACTGATGGTTTTAAGTCATCAAGGTGGGGATTTTTTTTATCGTGCTTGTCGCCGTGTTTGTGCTACTTTCCCCCCCAAACAAAGTTACAAAGGGTGGTCAAGGACTGCATGACACACGAAGATTCATTTGGTTCCTCTGTGAAATATTTGACACGGAATTGCCCCGCAGGATGGATGTAGGATAAATGGCAATGCCCATAGGAGAGCTGTGTAAAGTCGGGGGATCGATGCCAGAGAAGAGGCCTCAGGCAAAACAGAACAAAGGGGGGGTGCAGCAGAGGCCTCCTGGTGGTTTGGCAGTGTTGGGAACATGACCCAGTCCATGGTGGGAGCCCTTTCCTCGTCTCATACACCGCCAAATCAAAAATAATCATAAAAGGTGCTACATGTTGTAGTTTGCACATTCCTAAACAATCATAAGCTAACAAATTACTTCCGGCACCTTGGTATGAGCAAATTGTCTGGAGAATTGGCAGCCTATCGCACGTTTGTTCTTTGGCTGTACTTTAGAGGACATACGTGTTGGATGGGATTCTTTTCCCATTGGCCGTTGAGAGATGCTCAAAAAGATTTAGCTCAATTCCTGCTGGAAGAACAGTGCTGATTTCCCGCTTTTCCTGCCATACATACAGCAAATCCAGCACATTTTTCTCCAAATTCCGACAAGATGACGGAAGAAAAATGGAGTATGGACATGAAAAGGCCTCCCACTCATGCTTCATGGTCTTGTCTACAAGTAGTCAACAAACAAGACAAGTTTCTTAATGGGAAAAGCGGAGAGATATGGCTTTGAAGATTGAGACAACATTTGTTTTTCCTCCTGCAAGTCCTCTCTGTTTACCATCGTCCCTGACACTATATAGACAGTACTGCATCAAATAGAGCAAAAGAAAAGGCCGGTAAAGGGAAAGAGTGACCCTGAAAGAGTTTCACTGCTTGTGCTCAGATCATATGTGACACCTGTCCCTCAGCCAGTGTTTTTCCAGACGACGGTTTGAGTTTCTCCCTTGGAGCGATGGTAATTCTGCCGCCAAGATTGGGACGAAAAAAGGCAACACCCGAAGTGAACCTTTTAGCAGCTCAATATGTGAGAATTACATGTATGATTTATCCAGCTGGTGAGGAAATTGGCCATTGGGAGACAGCAGTGAGAGGAGATACAATTTTAAAGGCTGAAAGATAATGTTTGCTGCTTTTACTCTGACTTGAGTCACTGAGTAACACCAAAATGAAAAAGATGACACGATGCTGCTGATGTCACTACTCAAAGGTCTGATATCAAGAGAGATACACAGACGAATGCTACCCTTTAAGCCCCTGTCACACTGTCCCGAAATTGACACCAGATGGACACACGATAAAAGGAAATGTTCAAATTCGGCTCTGATCGTAACAACATCGGATCATCTTCGTCTGATCATCGGTTCCATCGGGGGCGAAAAATGCCCGATGGCACCGATGATCAGACGAAGATGACACTATTTGACAAGATGCCCTCACGGGTGCTTTACGAAGGGCAAAGTGGACACACAAATTCAACACGAAAATGAACCTTCGCAAGGTCCTTCGGCAATTTTTTGGCATGCCAAAGATTTTGCCACCGCTCGCGAAGTTGCTGCCGGAGCCTGAGAAACTCCACCGGCGGTCATACGATGGCTTAAGATGCCCTCACGAATGGCCCAATGTTGTTACGATCAGAGCCGAATTTGAACATTTCCTTTATCGTGTGTCCATCTGGTTGTTTTATTGCAAAAAACAAAATCATGTAAACATATTATGTAAATAGCCCAATTTGTGTTCTGTGAAACTGAAAAGGATATTACATTGTTTTTGTTGCAGTTGTATGTCTTAAATGTAATTTAGGTTAACTTCCTGTTTTATTTAGATGCTTTTATTTTGAAGGCGAGTTGACAGGAAGTTGTTGTTGCTATGGAAACGACATGACGGAGAAAACTTAATATCTTCTACATATAAAGACGGATAAAGTAAAGAACAAAGTCTGAAAATATCAGTACAGTATCATAGTACTTTAACATAATTGTTTTTGTTACTTTCGTTGCAGTTGTATGTCTTAAATGTAATGTAAATGTTGCCTTCGTGTGTGGTTCGGGGCCATCTTCGTGCGAAATTCACAATTCCATATTCGTGTGTCCATCTGGTGTCAATTTCGGGACAGTGTGACAGGGGCTTTACAAATGTAACCCACTTTAGCTTATCCCCTGTCACGTGACATTAACAACAAAAAACAGCCACTTCCGGAAAGCTACTCCATGACACAAACCTATTCTGAGCATGTAAACAAAAATGTAGTGAATGGGACTTTTCATAGACATTGGATCCCTCTCTATAGCAGCAAAGAAGATTAATATGCCCCGGTGGTAGATACCTAGCTTCAAAAGTTGGGATCCAATTTTGTGACTTAATTAGAAAAGGCCTCGTTAAAGCTTTACATGTGGGTGTAAAAACCAGTGAACATCTAGCTTTTTCAGGGCAGGAAACGGCAATGGATCCCTAATTCACAAAATGATGCTATTTTTCATCTAGCAAGGTAGTCTTTAAAGCAAATAAATATATTTTTGTCATAATTTATCAAAATGACTCATGTGATTTAGGGGTGTTCCTACCTGTGAGGTTGCGCAGGCCCAGCTGTCTCAGGCCATAGTACCCGTCCCGCCTGTAGTTGAGGAAGATGGCCAACGAGTAGCGACCCTCGTACAGTTTGGTGCCTCGGATGATCCGCAGGTTCTCCAGTGGCAGGTAGTCGAACTGGTTGAGAGCCACCAACACGTAGCCGGTCACTTCTCTGATTGACTGCACCGAGAAAAAAAAGTACATTTGATATGTTAATAAGAGATACTGGGTCCCATGATTTCATTGATTGAAGCACTCTTTTGTGCAAGTGAAATGATAGAAAAAGCAGTCCAGTATCTCAATAATTCTATCATGTTGGGGCACTTCTTTATGATTTGAACTTCAACGCCAGCGTTCCATGCCAATGTAAAAGGCAATGTTAAAATGTGACATTTTATCAATGGCAACCATTTTTCCCAAAGCCTGTGGTATATCCACAATCTTAATCCCATGTACAATTTAAGTCAGTAATCTAAAGAGTTACTGTTGATGAATACAATTAAATACACTCCTGAAGTATTTACATCCAACTCCAATTTATTTGGTTGCCATGTCTACATCATGGAACACACTAATCCAGTAAAGCATTCCCCTCATTTTCTGTGCCGGAGCATATCATTTGCATTTTAAAATGTCAAACTCATGAAAGATTTGGACAAACAGTCCAAAAGGATTAAAATGTCAGCTCAATTGCCGACTGATTACACTTCTCTGATTACAGACTCACAGCTGTTCTTTAAGGGCATGATACCGGTATGTATGACATTTGTAGAGCCAATAATACATCACACATTTAAGAACAAGATTTTCAAATCAAAAAGGGTATATTTGTAACTGTATTTGCTTTTATATCCGTAGGTAAAGAAGTCATATGGGAGATCTAAGTCACATTTGATTCCTTAGAGACATTAAAACTAAAAAAAAGAAATATAATAAGCTCAAGCTGAAATGCCTTGGAGTCAGACACATGTAATATGCAGAAATAGAGAGCCTCAATGTGTCTTGCTGAAAAACATGGCAGACCTCACCTATCTGCCTCATCGTGCATCAATTGACCTTCTCAAAAGTCACTAAAATCACTGATTACCTCTGTGTTGAGCACTTGATGAGGCAAATTAATTCAACTGAAAATTCAAGATGAAGGACGGGGCCAGGGCTGGGACTTTGAATGTTTGAATATTTCTTATGAAAGTAGTGTTTATCTTCATCCTGGGGTCATCTCTGAGGAAAAAAAATTAAAGGTCAACTATCCGCAGCAGTGTGTTATCAAATCCACAGAAAATAGCAAGACAGAGGAAAGCAGGATCAGTGTTGCTTGGTGTGTGTGTGTGCATGCATGTGTGTGTCTTCTAAAACAACTTATTCCCTTGTTGCAACAACTCCATCTCTGCGGCCATGCAATATTCATCTGAGTCGCTCAAACAGCAGCCGCAGCTTACTTATACACACACAGAAACTGGTGAACACACATACAGCAGCTGTTAAATGCCACACTAACACATTTTACCAACCACCACTGACAAGCTTAATTAGAACTGTACATATAAAAGTGTGTGAGCGGGGGGGGGAAAGACGGATCTGTTTTCAAGGTTTCAACTGGCTTGTACAATGGAGGCGCGTTTACAGCAGTTGGCAGACACAGATTTGTTTTATTGCTGTGGCTTTTTATAGCTTTTTCTTTGAAAATAGTCTCCTTTTCCTTCATATTTCAGTAGAATACACAGTGGTAGCAGTGACTAGTTTTGATATCGGGGCCAGAGGCAACACCAAGAAAGTGTAAAAGGTGTTGATATTAAGAAAATATACTCTATAGATTACAGTAACTTCATTCCAGGTATCAAAACTAAACAGTATGGGTCACTGATGCCACGATATAATCCCCCACTGACTTTCCACAAGCGGTCAAAAACTAAACTGGCTTTAGAAAAGGGCTCTGCAATATGGAAACATTTTAAATCACAGTATTTTTTTACAAATACCAAGATATATATATAGTCTAACAATATTTCAGGGTTGCCCAACTGTGCTTCTTTGCTGTTTTTTTGCATTTTAATTTGTTATCATTATAAAACAAAACATGTATGGACATTTTCTTTTTCTCATTTTTTGAAATAATCACCAATAATGTGGTTATAATGACTGACCGCTTTACCAGTCTGTTAATATATCACTTAACTGTAATTGAGCCTTCAAAACCAGGAAAATGAAACACTTATGTGTGCATCACCATATCGTTATAATAATAATATCATTATTGTTTTAAGAGAATCTGTACCAAACAGATATTTAGCCTTTACCAAATGTTGTACCAACTGCCATTTGGGTATTGCACTAATTCATATGGCAATATGCATACAATTTCCATGATTTGGGCAGCCCTGCTCACTGATCATTTCTTTAAAAATGTGCATGTCCAGCAACAGGGTATGAAGAAGAAGGGTTCTAAAGCTTCAGAGACATCCTAATGACTAAAGACAGGCCAGATGATTAGTAAGGAGGGAGGGAGGGAGGGAGGGAGAGAGGGAATGAGTAATGCGAGGTTTGATTGGCTGCTGACCCCTGGGGGACGCGTATGGAGACTGACGGTTGGGACGCAGCGTGAGGAGGGTCTGCGTTTCAGGATAATAGCAGGTAAGCGAGAATTGCTTCTATATGGAGTGCTCGGCAAACACGCACACCTGCCAACTTGGCTTCATTGTGGCGCTAACACAATAGGAAGAAAAGAGACAGTGGAGGTGCTTATTAGCAGGATTACAATGTGTCAATCACCTGAAGAGAGAAAGGACAACATAATAAAAGAGCAGTAGAATCCATTTCAGCGGAGGCTTTGATTAGCATACTTATTGCATGAAAAGGATTTCTATTGTGGTCTACTCCAGTGCCTGTCAGAAACCCCTCAGTGAAATCTTTCTCTGTCGAATGTTAGAGAGCAAGTTGTGCAACTTTATGCAACTCTGTGAAACTCTAAAATAAAGCACGCAGGGAAGGCTTTATCTTCCGGCTGCTTCTTTATCCAGTCCCGTGGTTTAGAAGTCGTGCCGTTTTGTCCCGACTGTGACCTTCTTGTTTACTGCTTGGGGCCGGGGTGCATCGTGAGCTCGCCCTGCTATCAATAGCTGTGCCGTAACCCCCCGAGGTGCCTGCCAGGGGCGCTATGACGATTGCGAAAACGGGGGGAGGCTCCTCTGCAACCCGACCCAGCTGTAGGCATGCACTGTGCTGCTGGCAGGCTCCACAGAGCTTCCACTGTGCGTCCTTCTCCCTGCCAGCCTCCGGGACCCGCTGGCGAAAGCAAAGAAAAACTGTTTCCCTGTTGCTTAGCAACCGCAGGAAAGCCTTCCAGCGGGAGCGAGGGCGAGAGCAAGCAGAAGAAACAAAAAAAAAAGGTTTTCTTTGGTTGCAATTCACCTAATTAAATAAAAGGATTACTCTGCTCTTTCTCAGTCATTTTAATTTCCTTCCCGTGCCATAAATAGTCTTTATTTTCTAGATCAATATTTATCTGCACGGCTCTGTACTGGAGGAGGGAGGAAGCGGGGAGACATGGAGGAGGGAGGTCCGGAGGGAAGTAAACACAAGCACCTGCATTTCCCCTCCCGCCACATCAACTGCGCGCAGTTTCAGAATCACAAACACAGAAGCTGAGGATGTATATCGGAGAAGCTGCCCACCGCTGCCTGCTGGGAGATGTGCTCTGACTTAACAAGGTGGACCGTGTTCTCTCCCTTGTATTTTCTCCAAAAACACACACTTAACAAGGCGAGTAGGAAGGCTAATTTGTAGCAACAAGGTGCATGAACTCTCCATTCCTAACCTCATTCCCTTCATCCTCATCTAAAATGACCCTTAGCTTGTGACATTAAAGTGGCTCATAAAAGGAAAAACGCATCAATATATTTACACAGTCTGGCACAAGTCCAGGCCATTATTTTAGATACCATTCCGAGTAAATCTTTTGATTCCAGCTTGACTCTGATGGATTTGAGTGTTTACTCTGTTGTGTGAGCCACGAAGGGTTTGTGCAGGAATTTTCACTCGCACATTTACACACATACGAGCATCAGATATTCTGATAACCCCCGCCTACGCAGAAAGAAAAACACTGCCACGAGGCACAGACAAGACTTAGTCAACACAGGTCAACTACCCGTGATGCATTGCAAGTTTAACGTTTCCTCCAGCGCTTTTTCCCATCAATCGCAGGCAATTAGCGGCCTAGCGTGGAGCGCTCAGTCAAACAGAATCCTCTGCGGTCCCGGCAGGCTTGTTTTCTTTCTTCTTCCGTTTTACCTCTGGGCAAAATGTGAATTTCACATGTTGGTAAATTGCTCTTTGCATCCCTAGGATGCATTGCATTGAGGCGAAGGCGAGCCAGGAGTGTTTTATCTCCTCCGAACAACATAATCATGATAAAAGGCGGCGGTGCTGTCTTGGAAACAAAACCTGCGGGATAGGAGGATGAGCTCAGGCACCTGTAACCTTTCCAGATATGTTGAAACGCTTCCTCGCAGTATTGGGAAATAATATTTGTATTGAAGCCGGTATTTAACAAAGAATTGTCTCGCAAATGTTTATGAGTTAATGAATCGGGACCTGGTGCATACATTGGAATTCTGTTTCGTGTCATAATTCAGCCGTAGTTGGTGAAAAGAGGTATTAGAGGTGAATACTAAGCCGGATTAAAGATGGAAAACAAAGTGACGAGTGGCTCACCAGCATTCAGGAACCTCAAGTTACAACTCAAATAGGCTTTAACAGACACTTATGTAAGCTCATTTACCAAAACGGTAGGCTAATAGCCTGTATGTCTACTATAATTATTTTATTGAACTTACTTTGCAGCTACTCAGGAAACCTTGCCAACACAGCCAGTAGATTTGCATACACATTTCTCCAGTTTCCTAAGAATCGCCTTTGGGCTTCGTCCCAGATTCAGCTGGAAAATTATGCATTCAAGAGTTTAGGGGAATAATTAAGTGCTCTACGCTCTCCATCTGGGTTTAAGTATGTAACATATATTACTATTTTACTTTTATGGCTGCAAGTTAACAGGAAAAGGATCATTTAGATCTGCTTAACGTCTTTATGCGGTCCATTGGTCAACATTAAAGAGCTCAGTCAGCACATAGAAAGACAAAGAAAAATGAATGAGAATTTGAGATAACAATTTCATCTTTGAG